TCCAAAGGCCATTCATTCTCAGAGCAGTTCAAAAGAATTGTGGGAGGGAAAGGAGAGATAAAATGGGACTTGCATCCCTTCCCTTTCCCGGGTATCTGAAGAGTAATCATAAAGGCCTCTGTGGGCAAGGCTTAATATAGGCTATGGGATGGTACCCTGCCCAGTTTTAGAACCAGGATTATCCATAGTGCTGAATACTCTACAAAGTAGGGAGTCCCCAACCAAACTGAGAGCCCCCTCCAATGATGCAATTATCTGGGTGTTCCCTGCACATGAAAGTGTGCCTAATGTTCCTGCCAAAGGTTTACAGCACAGTGGCAAAAACAAAGGAGAGGTGTCAATTTTTTCCAGATACAGCAACAACACTTAGAATTCCAGTTATCACATCTGAAAGGGGGACAGAATCTTCTGTAAAAACTCATCTCAAAAGTGGGACAAGAGACAGTCAGACCTGAGTTTAACTTGAATGGGTACATAACCATCTTGGAATATGTCAGTCTTGGAATATGTCAATGACCCTAAATAATAGTTCAGCAATTGGGACTCTCCTCCCAATTGTTTAATCCTATCCTAGGCCCGTATGTTTGATCATTCTTCTCCACCAGTGAAAGTACAGATCTTGTGTGACCTTCTTTCTGTACAACTTTTCATTCGAAACCATTTACATCTTAAGACCAATACTCTATTTATAGACCATGGCTAACAATATTGTGGTTGTGGTATTCTGTGCGGGCTGACTCGAGGCTTTGTTTTTATGATGGTCCATGTCCGGAGCCCATCTTCAATGCTGGGACTCAGTCCTCGGGAACAATGAATAAAGATGCAGTGCCTGTGGGAACCAGATGCATGCCCCCTTGAGTTTCATAAAAGAAAGGTGGGATATAAAAGAAACAAAACAGCACCAGCATCTCCCTTTAGAGGTGGATGGCAAAAACTCTTCTAAATGTGTAACACCTGAACTCCAGTCTACATCCAGTCCTTGCAGCCTTAGTTCTCCTGCTGGTAATGACAGCAGAGAGGTTTATAAGTGCCGATCCATGTGTTTAAAAGTCCTCATTTCCCCCTCCCCATCAATCAGACATGCTCTGGAAGTTAGGTGCTTGGAACATAATTATAGGCAATCAGGGTGTCAATTTGGATTGAGACCACTGCATGCAGGGAGAAAGGGCTTAACCCTTTCCAGCTGCACCCTAAATGGTCCTGGATGCCACTATTTACCCTTCTGGGGAAACTTACAAGTATGGATGGACTACATTCAAGTTTCCCCCAAAGGGTAAAAAGTAGCCCCCACGGGCCATTCCAAGTTAGGAAAACAGAGAGGAGGATTAAGCTCTCTCTGTTTGGTCCTGATCTAAATTAGGTTCACACTTGCCTGGGGATTAAGTGAAAAGCATGGAACTCCCTGAACAGTCTGTGACAGGAGGACTTTATAACTTTGTAATGTGTGAATTGGTTTTCACAGGGTTGCTTGAGCACAAGACAGGGATTCTCTTGGCAAACTGGATTAAGCAAACTTGTGGTCGTTTTCAAGCTTGTAGACTAGATCACATATGCAGGCTCACTGCTCACTGACTAACATTCAGAGTGGTCACTTGCATGGGTGAGAAAGAGGCCTCAGATCAAATACTAGATGGACTGAACTAACACATTTTTCAGTGGAGTTACATTCACACATTTCAGTGGATTTACACTCATACAATTACAGTGTGGGTGACCCAGGAACATATGCAGACTTGTGAACTGAACCTACTGCTACCCCTTAAGTTAAGGCAGATGCTGTGTACCACTGTTGAAAGAGATGTGCACAATGCTCATCTCTCTCCCGTGGGAATTGTTCCATCACATTTTCAAAAACCCAGCCTTCGCAGAAACATCTGCCTAATCGGCTGCCACGCTTGGCATCAGGGAGGGTCTCAGGGCTGTTGGCAGAGCTGCCTGCTAAAGCTGCCAAATGCAGAGGGCATGGCTGGCCCCTCCGTTGTACCAGCCTGATGGAAACCTCTGACTTTCCCCCTCTTCCTCCCCCTCCCTTTTCACTCTCTGTTCTCACAGCACCAGCTGGGGCCTGGGGAGCCTCCCACCATCCAACAAAAACAAGTCTGGAGCTTTGGAGATACTAAGGCCTCGTTTTATGATGCCAGCTATTACTTCACAAGATCCTGTAGAGGAGGAGGACGGGGAGATGGACAGTGCTAAAAATGTCTAAATCAAGAGGGGGGGGGGCTGAAACCTGCTTGGAAATTATCATCTCTTACGTGCACGCTTGACATAGGAGGGTGGGGGCTGGCTGTGATCATGACAGTGCTCAGCACATGGACAGAAGCATTCTCTTCACTATCATTTCAAGTCTCAGGGCTGGATTAACAGGTTGTGCCTTGAGTAATACAGGGTGCAACTAAAACTGAATCTGCCCTCTTATTTCTTCACACACACCTCAGTAATAGCATCAAAACAATCACCATGCTCCTAAAGAGAGAGAAACTTTGGGCGAAAGTATCCCTAGCAAATGTTCCTCCAGTCTCTTTCTCACTGGGAAAGGAAGATTCTCGCAAACTCCCCCACTGCACTGTTGCATTTCTGTTTCAGTTTGGAAACTTTTACTAATGTGCGACCTAAATCTGCCATGTGACTCTGCACAACTCCCCCCGCCCCCAGATAGAGGCATGGCAAAGTGCAAGCATCAAGAGACACAGTCTTAAGCATGTTTACTCAGTGACTTCAACAGAATTTACTTACTCTCTGGTACTGGTGTTTAGGGCTGCAAGCTTAATCTAGAAGGACTGGGTTCAAATCCCACCCACATCAAGGCCTTCTCTAGCCTTGAGCAAGTCACCCCGGTTCTCAGTCCTCCACCTGTACAGTGGGAATGTTAGCAGTCTACGTTAGAAGAACTAACAAAATGTTCGCAGGTCCTAATTTACACCTTTTCAACTAACTTAGCTTTTGGGGGCCGTGGTTCTATGGGATTCCATTTTGTCCTGTTTTAATCCCCAAGACATCTGCATGAAGCCTTTTGGTGGGTAAGAAGTTCAAAGTATATTGATTTGTCACCGATTCTTGCTTTAAATGGGAATGCTTGTTAGGAGGGGAATGGAAGTTTTAGACCATATTTTATTTCGCAACTTACAATCAAGACACAAACTTATTAAAGAAACCACACTATCATGTAGAAGTGCTTACAAATCACCCCATATGGCGGACACTCTTAACACAAGGGGTTAAGAGTGGGAGGAAGCAGTTATAAACAGTGGCTGTTCCCTTTCCTCTCCTGTTTCATTTCACAAGGTTACCCCAAGGGTTTTTTTTGTCTTTACATTAAAAAAATCCACACAGTGCATAGCTCTGTTCTAGGGAGGTAGACTCCTCCCCCCCATCCACACTCAGTTGCTCTTGATTACATTTTGTTTGACATGGAAGATGTAAAGAAACACATTTAAGCCAGAAAAAACGAATAACCTTAAAGTGGTTTCCTTTGGGGAAAAGATACACACAACTCCCAAGACAAAGCCAGCCCCTTCAGGCTGGCTTTTTGGCACTACCCAGAAACCAGATTTCAGAAGCATCCTTCTAAAACCTTAAGTATCTCAACCCTGGAAGTTTTAGGCTGAGCACAGAGACCTTGCCGAATGCCACGTGCTACAGCTCTTGTGGGGAAGGGAAACGCACTGGGGCTATGCCATTTGGGCAAACAATCACACTTTTTAAAACTGGGTCTTTTAGGTTAAAATGGCTTTGCACTATTGTATTGGCACAAAGAAAAAAAAAAAGTTAAGGCCAAACACAGGCTGACTCAATTTATCTTGAAAGCATTGTCTAACTTTTGTTCCTGGGGACACTTCTGCTTTATTGCGACAGAGCAGAGAAGCCAGAAATACTGCTTGAAAATAAAAAGAAAAAACACCCTATAATCATTTTAAATGATAGAAGGATACAGAAAACAAGCAAGAGGAGGTGTACTCCAAAGCCTAGGGTATGAAGATTTCAAATAAAAGGGACACACACTTGAGCTTTGGGGTCTGTTCCATATAGTTGCGGCTGAGTTCTAAGCACACTAACATACGAGATATCCTTTTATGTATCTACAGAAGACTGATTGTTTAGGGAATAAGGGGCAGCCCTTTAACATAAAGGGACATCTGGCAAGCCTAGATCTCAGATCAAAAATAGGGTGTGGGAGGGGATGACTTTTTAAAAAAGGCAAAATGATAGGTTTCTTTCAGTGCCAGGAGGAGGAAAAAAACCGGTTTGCCAAAATGCACAGGGGCCACGAGAACAGGTCATTATATTCTGATTTTGGCTGCAATCCTAGGCAAGATAGAAGATGTATTTGGAACTCTGTGAAAGCCACTAGGCTATTATTTTCATGTAAAATGTGTTCAGGGTTGAACTACAGAAGTCCCAAAAGCCTACATAGATTTATAAATTAAATTCAAATCAAATTAAAAGGAAACCGTGGACTCATGTTTGTATCTCATACGGACTATTTTAAAACTTGCTCTCTCAAACTAGCAGACTCTTTTCAAACACTGAAAACAACTGCTCTGCTCAAGCAAAAAACCAACAAATTCTAAAGAAAAGAATTTAAAAAAAATGGTGACAAACCTCTGAATCTCAAACAGATCCTCCCACCCCCCCACACACGTGCGGAATGTGCACACACACAAACTTTCCCAATAGCCTGCTTGCTTCTGGCCGTTAATGCTGCAGCCAGAGAAAATCACAGGACCATGGTAATCACACAGATGCTCTTCATTCTGTGGAAAAGGTAGAAAACCACACTGCAAAGCACAGCTGTTGGTTGCCCCACACATGTGCCCCCAAACCCATGCTACATAAACCAAGTAGCGTAAAAAGCACCCCAGAGACTTTGGTCTTCTTGCCAAAACATGGTCAAAGTTTTCAAGGTTCCCCACATATATTCATGCACAAAACAAAGTCTAGACAAGGCACAGTTAAACACCCCACCCCTCTCCAGAAGTTTGGCCCTTCACATGACTAACCTTCAAAGCAAACTCCTTGTTACGGTCAATCCTAGATCTGGTCAACGATTCTATCCGAGACATAATCCAACGCTGAACCCCACTGTTTCCCAATCGATCTGATTGGGTCTCCCACTGCCTTGATTCTTAGGTGATGTTTTGGGCATGAAAAGCAATTGAAAAAATCAAAACGGAATAGGAATAAAAAGAGCAGCTAGAGAGCTGAATGAATGAAGTTCTATTTGGACCAAAAGAAAAAAGGGAGAGGGAATGTGTGCCACACACACACACACCCTTCAGGCTGACTCTGCTTCGCACTTCCAACTCACAGCACAGGAAGTTAACTGGCTAAGCTCAAAACTGTTCTTGGGCTGTTCAAACTGCTTTGCTCCTCCTCTCAAGATGAAGGGGGAGGAGGGGACTGAATGATGCTTTGGTTTTACATCACCTTAAAAAACGAAGGATGCTGGAATAGGCAGTTCAGTGCCAGAGGAGGAGCAAACTGAAGCAGGAAGAAGACCCAAAATGTCTACAGCACCTCCAGATGTTCCCAGTTTTAGGGATTATGCGCCGTTCTAGCTCTTCTGTCACTTCCAGTCTAGCTGCATGAGATGCTCCTGTCTGCACAAGCCAATAAAAGAGATACCAACTGAAGTAAAGCAGCCCATGTGGCTAGCTTCCCACAGACATCTCACTGGGCAAATTGAGAAAGGCAGCTTCTTCCAAGAACTTTGGCCGTGCATATAATATGTCACAACCAATTCAAAACTCGACATCGCAGCCTCCCCCCTCCTCAGCTCACTGCCAAAAGATCATTTCAGGTCTCCGCTGAATGCACAGTAGCTATGGGGAAACCCTTGAAACACCATGTATGAGCCAATACCAAGCCCGGGGCCAGCTGGCTGCAGCATCCTCTAGGAACAGGACTCAACTGTTTCTGGTGGCATATGGTGGGACAGTCATATGACCAGGTGGACTAAGCCAAGGCATAAAAATCTGCACCTCACTAAATAACATGGGACACAATGAACCATGATCTTGCAGAGCTCCAGTTTATTTCAGCAAGGCTACCTCAGGAGAATTTTCATATGTCCCAATGATCTGTTCCCCACACATCATCAGATCAGTCTCCCTGGCACCCTGCTGCCTTTAATAGCAGAGTTTCGTGTGAAACTGCAAGATCTGTTCAGTGTACAATCCAAATAAGGGTTGTGGTACTGGAGGACCCTTTTCCTCCATGCAATATTCTGTACTCAATACACTCCCTGCCCAGCTACTATTTGCTGACAGATATAGTTACCTGTAGGTTTCCTGATACAAGTCAAAAAGAGCTCAGAGGATATGGACATATGGTGCAGGGAGAAAAAGTTAACTCTCTCTGTACCATAGCCCAGATTCCCTTCCCCCTGCAATTTTTAACATTTAAAAGAACCAGAAGTGGTCCCTAGGAGGGCTGCTGAGCCTTACCTCACAGTAGGGTGCCCCTACAGCTGTCTGCACAGGATGGGAACTGGCATGCGTGAAATACAACACAGGCTACAGCTTACACTAAAGGAGTCAACCAAACCCTAAAACAATTCTATGCAGAAGGGAGGTACAACATAAAATTGGGAGCATACAAACTGTCTATATAGCACAGCCTGAGCTTTCATATAATACAATCTACGTCAGCAGATGCACAGCGTTGACAAGATCAGGGTTCCCCAACATGATGCCTGTGGGTGACATGTGTGCCATGGTGCCTGCCAGTACTTCACCTGGTGCACACTGAGCTTTTCAGAAAGGGTGCAGGGCAATTGTAAGGCAGGGCTTGTTATTGGCTTCCCTCATTCAAATAAAAGAGTTTTCCACTGGAGGATGAGGAGGAATGGTAAGCAACTAGGCTGTACTTAGTCAGTGTGTGGTTCCATTACCCCTTCAGGATTTCATTCGTCCTAGAAGACATGAGGAGGAACGTATTCTGTTTGGTTCTGCCTCCTAAGGCAGCCAGCTTCCTGCAGAAGCCATTTTAGGGTGGCACTCATTACCATCCCCTCACAAAAATCCAAAAGTACTTGCAGCCACAAAAGGTTGGGGACCCCTGGATTAGATTGTGCATCAGTGCAGTGGTTTTTAACCTTTCCATACCCACCCAAGGTGGCAGCAGGTAGTCCAGAGCCAGTCTGGTGTAGTGGTTAAGTGAGTGGACTCTAATCTGGGAGGACTGGGTTTGATTCCCCACTCCTCCACTTGCACCTGCTGGATGACCTTGGGCAGGCCATAGTTCTGTCAGAGGTGTTATTGAAAAAGAGCAGTTTCTGTCAGAGCTCTCTCATCCCCACCTACCTCGCAGGGTGTCTGTTGTGGGGAGGGGAAGGGAAAGGAGTTTGTAAGCTGCTCTGAGACTCCCTTGGGTAGTAAAGGGCGGGGTATAAATCCAATCTCCTCCAGTGAACATGCACAGGACACTACAGTCATACAACAGGAATAGGATGAACCATAGCCTCTGAATTTGCCTAAGCTACAGAGAAATTCTACTTCAGAGTGACTTTGCCTCATCATCATGCTGCTCCTCTCAGCATGGGTGCAGAGAGCGGCAGGGCATCTTTGATTCTACACCTTTGCAGCAGCAGCAGGCCCTTCAAAAAAGGCAGCTCTATAGGGTCCCATAACTCGCTTGAGGGACCTGGTGCTCAAGGACTGAAGTTTACTCTTTTCGAGGATATAAACAGAAGAGTCCAAGACTTGACCCACACAAGGAGCACAATGAGGGGACTCCCAAGATGCTGGAATTTACCACATCAAAATTGAGGTGGGAGATTTTTTTTAATAACCACTCAATCTAACTTTGAAACCCTCTCTTCAAGTGGAAAAGCAGCAAAACAAAGTAGGGTCTGGAACAGAAAATTCTTCTCCCCAGTGCTACAGCTTGGTACTTGCAGAACACATTTGAAAACAGCCTCCCACTCCTGCTGTCCTATGATCCTGTCTGTTCTACAGCGCTTAGGATTCTACCACTCATTCTGCTGAATCTGTGGAGGAGCCCAACATCTTTTACTAGAAGGTGTCCAATTAATCCCCCCCCAAAAAAATCTCAATGGGGGAAACTGCTTCAGGTGTTCAAGCCTGGTTTTGGAATGAACTTTGCCCTCTTTGATGACAGTCACATCCTGCCTCAACATGCAAATATGGTTGCCCTTCAAAAGGCAAATGGAGACTAGGAGCCCAGATCCCTTCTAGCAGAGACACACAGGAGTCCTATTTGCCCAGCAGGAGCTTTTCATCCATTCCTCAAACTGCTTAACAGACCAAGAGCACTGACCCGCTGGACTGGTCCAGCACACTGCAGATAAAAAGAGGGATACCAAGGATCACTACCCAACCCCTAATGAACATTGCTAATGTCTGTGTTCTATCTTCTATATGCCTTATCCATTCACTTAGTGGCCAGCCTTCTGCTGATTTTGGTCAAGAGGGTAATTTTTTTGGTAGACATAGTGGAGGGAAAAAACACAGTTGTCCTAAAATGGGCTGTTAACAGTTCAACAAGTATTGCAGCAGCTACAGGGTATGCAAAGTACACACTGCACAGCTTCTTGCTGCTCATGTACATGCATTGATATGTACATGTACTAGACATAAGATGCATCTGTTCCCCCACTCAGAGGCTTAATTCCGAGGAACTAATGGGAATGACCTGGACCCCTCAAGAATCACAAGGCTAGCCACTCACCCTAACATTCTGTAAAGCATCTCCCAAAGGCAAAAACAGGGAGAGTGATTTAACAGCAGCTAGGACTAGGAATGCATTGCTGGTTAAAAAGGGGAGCAGTTCAAGCATATATAGAAATGACTTTTAAACCAGCAGAGAAAACCTTGCAGGAAAAACAGAGCATGAGGAAAGAAGGAGAGAGAGAGAGAGAGAGAGAGAGAGAGAGAGAGAGAGAGAGAAGTTTTCATCTTTATGAAGTTCTCGAAAGAGACACTTATTGAAGGAACTTTGCCCTTGGCAAATAAACAGATAAATACAAAGGTCATAAATATTTGTTTATTTGCCTCTCTCACACACACTTGTGTAGGGATAGACGTTTCTTGGGACAAAAATAAAACTGCATATTCAGAGCTTAACCCCAAAATCTGTAGGGTTCCTGTGGAGCTGTATCCCACCATACAACAATACAAGTTGGGGCAGGGAGGAAGCCCTAAGAAGTGGCAGTTCACCTAGACAAAGAAGGAAAAATTAAATCAGCCCTCATCTCCCCTCCCATAACTAAGGAGGAGTAAAAAGAAATGGCTACCGCTAGTCTGCACAGGATTAGGGTTTCCAACTCCATGTTGGGAAATCCCTGGAGATTTGGGGGCAGAGCCTATGAAGGGCAGAATTTGGAGAGGGAGCTCAGCAGAAATGTGACGTCGTAGTCCATCCTCTGAAGCTACTGTTTACTCCGAGGGAACTGATCTTTGCAGTCTGGAGATCAGTTCCAGGAGAACTCCAGCCTTTACCTGGGAATTGGCAAGCCTAAGGAAAGACCTGTTCTAGGACAAAGTAAGATAGTATAGAAGCCAGAATGGCAGGGAGGAAGTGGTTAAAAGGCAGAGGCAGGGCCAGTTTGCTGGCACTGGCAGAAAGCCTGAGAGAAGGGCAACCAGCAAGGCCCATGGTATTTACAGCCTAGGAAGACCAGACATCCCTGGGGAAAGGATGAAGATATTCCTGGCCAGTAGGAAGGAACAACCACTGACTGCTCTAGTACACAGAGTGGCAGTATAGCTATCTCAGGGCCTAACCCTGGAGTAAGGGTGCAGTGGCATGAAGCTGCAGCTAAAATACTCTGGGAGTGATCCTGTCCTAGGAAAGAAGCCTAAATACTGGACCTGAGGCAAGCAAGAAAGAGGACAAGCACTGTCTGGCAAGCAAGCCTCTTTGCCTCAGTATGTGGCTATTAAGCCCAGAAACTTCTATAAAAGACAATTAGTATCATTTAAACAGAGACAACTCTCCTGGTGCCTAGCAGTTGTAAAGGAAGCTGGAGGAAGATAGGTTATGCCCATGGGGAAGAGGCCCCTAACCCAGGATGCATCACAGGCTGCTGAATGCCCTTTGTTCCAGAAAAGTCCCAAAAAACCCTAATGGATGCTCCTTAATTTCATCTGTATTGTATTCTGCTTGTGATGGTGAAGGATCTGACAGCAATAGGCAATGTGATGGGGTAGCACAGAATGTTCACAAACACTCAAATGGCTCATGAACAAACCTGTCAGAATGATATTAGTGCAGCATTCAGAGAGAAGGGACAGTCTGGTCGACTAAGATTAAAATCTCAGTCAGGGGATACATTGAGGAATC